TTGCTACCGATAGGGTGTCGGATGCTTGATAGTAGGTAACTTCAGATTATCTACAAGATATGAACTAGCAACATTAGTACATGATCCTGGATCTATAATAGTTAAAGATGCCTTGTCCATAACTTGACACTTAGTATGGAAAATATTATTCCTTTATTGATCATCTTCAGCTAATTGCGTTTGTAATGCTCGAAGGTTGACAAACACTTGTCCAGCCTCAGCATCAATATCTACAACTTCTTTCTCGATTTCTTCAACAAGTCTTTGGCATCTCGTCATCTTCTTCATCTGTTTCACTTTCGAACTTCCATCCTCTTTAAGGATCATAGTCTTTAAAGTTGGACAATCAGAAGCTATATGTCCTCGTCCCTGACATTTGAAACAAGTAACATCTCTAGTTCTGACTTTGTTAGTATTACTAGATGAAGTAAAATTTTTAACATTAGAAGATGGTTTAGGAATATTGGAAGTATTAGAAGCATTTGAAATACTTCCCTTTTCAAACTTTGAAGAATTACCATACTTCTTTGAATCATCTTTCTTCCATGGTGTAGAAGACTTATGTGAATCTGACTTCTTCTTTTCCAATAGTCTCTCCACAATCCTAGCCTTGTGTAACATCTTAGTTGGATCTAGGTAGTGTGAAAGCTCCACAACATCAACAATGTTTTTGTTAAGTCCTCCTAGAAACCTTGCCATCATAGCTTCAAACTCCTCTTTAATATTTGCTCGTATCAATGCCAACTCTATGATAGTAATCCGTGACAAAACCAATCTTTAAGAAAAGATGAACTTTGCTAATTCGGAAACTCAGAGATTTGTAGGCAGCGGAATTTGGAGAATTCGGATTTAAAGACTCTAGAACACACGAAAACAAAGAAAAGAAAAGATATTTGACCTCAGGTGGATCAATTCACGAGTTCAATGGTAGAAAAACCCAAATCAAAAATGAAGAGAGCTAATTCTAACCAAGCAGAGACCCTTTGGAAAATTGTGTAAGAAAACCCAATAGATATGAGATCTATGAGCGTAAATACCAAGATTCGAAAGATCCAATGCTATAGACGCCACTATCAAGCGAACTAAACAAGATAGATAAGTCTAACAATTGTCACAACACATATGCAACAAACAAACAAAGAAGTCCTCACAAGAACTCCACGAAAGGAATAAAATCCTAACCAATTTCACTCAGGAAAATATCAATGACACAAAGGTGTCTTGGACAAGAGGATTTCGGTCCCTATATATAGAGGGGTGGCCGAAATTTCTTTCCTAGAAGTAGAGGAAGTACACAACTCTTCACCTCTATTCCTATTTGAAATGAAATCAAACTCTAAAGACTCCTATCTTAAGTGATAAGATAACGAACCTAGACACTTTTACTAGTCTTAAAACATTTAAGACTTGTAGGAATTAATTAAAACTCAAAATACAAAGAGATAATCTCTTAGAAAGATTCCAATGGATAGAATCTCCCTTGAGTTAAAACTCTATCATTATCTTCTTTGTAGAGTGATCTTAGCCATCCATCTTGATGTAGTCTTCATCCAATGGTTGAGTAGACATCAAAAGCTGACTTCTTATTGTAGGAAAACTCGAAAAACAAGATAAAAAGAATCATCCCAAATATTATCCTTTAAAGAGATAAAAGTCTTCTCTTTCAAAGAGATAAAATTTGAATGATCTCACCCCTAAACTTTAGGGAGCAATTCGACCAACATGAGGAGATGCGGCCGGTGGTCCCTTTGAGGATTGAGGGCCGAAAATCTTTTCTCCAAATGGGCCAAATCCATTTGGTATCACTTGCAGCAAATTAATAGTCTTGGGCTTGTAATCTTCAAGCTTAATTTCCTCCTTAGCCCATGTAGTAACAATTAGACTATTAAGTGATTTATTCATCCTCTTGCGTCTAGCACGAGTCATTGGTCCAACAATGTTTGAGAGTGGATCACGGATGTAAGGATTATTCTTTAAAGCAGCATCTTTAGATCCTCCATTAGCATTCACGACCTCAACTTGCTCGTCCTCTCCATTATTGGCAACAACATGTCCATCTCCATTAGTGTTAGCTAGATGGTCTCCATCACTCTAGCTCTTGATAGTACTCATCAACAGAGGTTCCCTGTGAAAGACTTTGAATTTTTTTACACAAATCTCGATAATAATAAGACGGAACAAACCTTTTGCACATGAGTCTCTTCATTTCATCCCATGTAGATACGGGACCCTCATCATAGAGCTTCCTATCCTTGACAACTTTGTCCCACCATTCTGAAGCATAGTTATTGAATTGGTATACGGCCATTCTAATCTTCTTAGAATCATCATAATCCTGTGATGAAAAAGCACGCTCTACCTTCTTTTCCCATGTAAGGAAAAGGCTTCAGGTTCATTAGTAATACTAAATTCAGGAATTTTAACTTTGAAATTACCAAGTTCATAAGGATCATTCCTATTGACAACACGATGAGCTCTATTACGATTTTCATTACCTTCATTACCTTGAGCGCGACCATTGCGAACCTCTAGTTCTAGATCTTGTATTTTACTACATAATTGAGTAGTAACATTGTACAACTAGCAAGAGTTTCTCGCATAGCATCTTGAGAGCTGTCGTCTCTTTGCTCATTATCATCTCCAGATGACATCCTTTAAGATCAAAGAACAAACAAGTATATAGGATATTAGTAGAAAATGTTCCTACCACGTCCCTTAACCAATGATCTTTTACTTTTCCCCCCTTTTCGTAGTATCACACACAACTCACCTCTTGTATTCTTTTGGGATTTATTTGGCTTTTTCCCCAATATCAAAGTGGAATAGAAAGAAAAACACTCAAGCCTTTTACCACTCAAAGACCTTTGGTAAAGTTCCAGAATGGCTTCAATGTTCAACTAATAGCAATATGCACCACAACAATTAATTCAACAATCCACTCGAATAAAACACTCAAAAGCAGACAAAATCAATTAGCACGTAGAGTAAATTTAGGGAAATTCCAGAAAAGAACGAGGGGTAACACGAATATCGTTCGAGTGTTTGGAGAAAAATAGGGATCTTGCTTTAAAAGTATAAGCAAACTCAGATTATACCTTAGACTCCAACTCAAACTCAAACTCTTATAGGATAAGGATAAGATTTTATCCTATTTTTAAGATAAGATAAGGATAAGATTTGAAGAGAATCTTATCTTTTACAAGATGAGATAAAGTTAACATTTTATCTTTTACAAGATAAGATAAGGATAAGATTTAAAGAGAATCTGATCTTTTGAGAGAATATAGGCAATGAAATAGCAAAGATAAACTCCCAATCAAACACAACTTTATCTAACCTTCTTAGATAGAGATAGACTTTGAATATACCTCTTCAAGAAGATTCTTTCCAACTTGACTTCCAACTCGTGAAATCTCACAATACAAGGCAACCTTTAATATACCTTATCAAATAAGACTCATTTTTTTTCCTATGCCGTCTTGATTTTTCTTTTTGCACGGCTATTTTTTTTTTTTTTTGTAATATAGGGGCGGCCGAGAAGAACCCTAGGCTCAAACAAATTTTTTTTTATTTATATATACGGCCAAATCAAACAAAGCACCTTCAAGACAAAAGCTCCTTCAACAATGAATGAATGAACATCAATCACCCCCAACATATAGAGATATTGGATCGAGAGATATATATCAACCACAATCACCAAAGTTTGCTATTGGATGATAACAAAAGGCATGAAACTAAAAGGAATTGTCCCAGTGGTGGACAACTCAAAAACTAAATATTACGAATACCCTCTTTTGGGAGAGGAAAATTCGAAAAACAAGAAAGAACAAGAAATCCGAATTTTAAGACCCACTATGGTGTAAACCGAAATTGGCTATCGATATACCAAAATATGTATGCCAACTATGGTAAAACCACAAGAAGGCTCTGGTAACCAAATATGATTCTTGATATACCAATTATGCCTCTGATAAACAAAATATGTCAACTATGGTAAAACCATAAGAAGGCTCTGATAACCAAATATGATAGCAATCCGTGACAAAACCAATCTTAAGGAAAGATCAACTTTGCTAAATCGGAAAGACAAAGATTTGTAGGCAGCGGAATTTGGAGAATTCGGATGTAATGACACAAAAACACACAAAAGCAAACACAGAAAAGATATTTGATCTCACGTGGATCAATTCACGAGTTCAGTGGTAGAATAACCCAAATCAAGAATGAAGAGAGCTATTTCTAACAAAGTAGAGACCCCTTGGAAAATTGTGTAGGAAAACCCAATAGATATGAGATCTATGAGCTTAAGAACCAAAATTCGAAAGATCCATTCCTAAAGACGCCACTATCAAGTGAACTAAACAAGATAAATAAGTCTAATAATTGTCAGAACACATATACAACAACTAAACAAAGAAGTCCTCACAAGAATCCACGAAAGGAATAAAATCCTAACCAATTTGATTTCACTCAGAAAATATCAATGACACAATGTGTGTTGGATAAGAGAAATTCGGTCCCTATTTATAGAGGGGGTGGCCGAATTTTCTTCCCAAGAAGTAGAGGAAGAACACAACTCTTCATCTCTATTCCTATCTCTAAGAATTTGAAATCAAATCAAACTTTGAAGACTCCTAGTTATCTTTAAGTGATAAGATAACAAACCTAGACACTTTTACTAGTCTTAAGACATTTAAGACTATGTAGTAATTTATTAAAACTCAAAATACAAAGAGATAATATCATAAAAAGATTCCTATGGATAGAATCTCCCTTGAGTAAGACTCTATCATCATCTTCTTTGTAGAGTGGTCTTAGCCATCCATCTTGATGTAGTCTTCATCCAATGGTTGAGTAGACATCAATAAGTTGACTCCTTATTGTAGGAAAACTCGAAAACAATAAGATAAAAAGGAATCATCCCAAATATTATCCTTTAAAGAGATAAAGTCTTATCTTTCAAAGAGATAAAATTTGAATGATCTCATCCCTAAACTTTAGGGATCCATTCGACCTCCATAAGAAGTGTGGCCGGTAGTCTCTCCTTGGATTGAGGACCGAAATTCTTTCTCTCCAAATAGGCCAAGTCCATTTGGTGTCACATGCAACAAATTAATAGTCTTGGGTTTGTAATCCTCAAGCTTAATTTCTTCCTTAGTCCATGTAGTAGTAATTAGACTATTAAGTGATTCATCCATCCTCTTGCGTCTAGCACGAGTCATTGGTCCAACAATGTTTGAGAGTGGATCACGAATGTAAGAATTATTCTTTAAAGCAGCATCTTTAGATCCTCCATTAGCTTTCATGACCTCAACTTGCTCGTCTTCTCCATTATTGGCAGCCACATGTCCCTTTCCATTAGTGTTAGCTCGATGGTCTCCATCATCTTCCATTTTCTTGACAGTCATCTCTTCTGGTACCGGTTTCCTTAATATAGTTTTTTCCTTCCAAGTTTTTTCCACTGGCTTTCTACAAGTACTGGTTTCATGTCCATAGCCCTTACAATTACCACACTTTACAGGAAGCCATTCATATTGCCCTTGCTGCTCTTGTAAGATCCCATATTCATTTTCAAAACAAACAGTAGTTTGCACCTTCTCATTGATCTTCATGGATGTGATTTCATCCATCTCTATTGGCTTTCCCATGGGGGTTATGATTCTGCTTAAGGTTTTAGCAGTCCAGTATTTGAGCTGCAACTTGGGCAATTGCACCCAAACATGGACTGGTTTAATAGCTTCTACTCTGAAACCATCTTCCACATCCCAGTCTTTTACTATTAAGGGCCTCTAATCAAAGTGAAACACATTATGTTTCAGATCCTCTTCATTAGGTGTGGCTGATGTGAACCTTACAAGATAGACTCCATTATCCAATAATAGTATCTTATCCAGGCCTAATTTCCCCCAAATTTGCTTGAGATAGCCATTTAGCGCAAAAAAAGGAGGACTGGCTCCAAAAATATAACAGATTATCGAGGACTTCCAATAATCAATAGCTTCCTGTATTTCTTCCTTATGAATCTTAGAAACAAGCTTATCATGAATAGAATTAGGCTCTATATACTCAAACTTACGATTCATGCCTAAGACAGTCTTAGTTTCAGAGTTTCCCCAAATTCCTGAGTTACCCGTCATCTCAATTCCTTTTCGTGATCTCATACCCAAATTATTCTTACTATTGAAGACTCTTCAACTTGAATCACTCTCTGATGACATAATTTTTCCAAAATTTCATTGTAGGAGACATTCAATTCGGAATTAGGGTTACTGACCTTCGAGGGGATTTAGATCTGGGGTAATTCTGCCGTGCAATTCTTCTCTTCATCCAGTAGCGTGGCTTCCTCTTCGATACTCTTCCCCCATTTCTTCTGCTTCCCCACCATCGTAGGCGTAGCAAGTTCTACACCGGAATTAAAGAAACGAGTTGCACGCACTTGAACGTGAATTCGCCAACAGTACGCATGAAGAGAGAGAAAATAGAGTTTAATATCTTATTTTAAATCCTACAAAATTGTAATTCTAATTCAATTACAATTCAATTGATGTTTACTTTAGCTTATAGTTAATTGGAATATATTTGCAACTAAAACATTTCATATAGGCACATTTTTCTAGAACGAGGATTTCAAATCTAACCCTTGAGGATTGAGGAATGGAGATCCTTAATTAACAAAACACCAACAAAGAAAAAGAAACAAAGGAGAAAAAATGAAGATCACTACTAAGGTGAAAGATGAACCAATAACTTACAATACTTCTAGTCCTCCTGGCCTTAAACCCCAAAAAACCATTACAAAACACCCTAGAATAGAAGCAACAACGGAAAAAGGGGAATCATCAGGTGGTGGAATGATGAGTGTCAATCTATACATGTTTTAAGACACATAATTTGCCTCTTTGTACTTAAGTTTAGGTCAGTTAGGATAGATTTTATGCTTATAGATTAATTTGGTGACTTTTGGTGATATAGGGACTTAGTTTAAAATCTGTAAAAAAAGTGGCGAAAATGTGGTAAATTGGTGAAGTTCTGGGCGCAACGGAAAGAGGCTAATTGGAATAAAGTGCAAGGTCAAGACTAAGATTGAATCCGGCGGGAATTGGAGTTTCTGAAGGCCAAATTCAAGCAATCCTTCAAGGCTAAGCAAGGAGGGCAAGTGGATGAAGTGATGCTACTGACAAAGGAAGAGGTTGATGTGCGTTAAAACTGAATTAGAGCAACCAAATCCCATCTAAAGATGATAGAGGTAAGGGGGGAAGGTGAAGAAGTATGAGTGATAGCAATCTTGTAGATGAAGCAAATTTTGTCAATGCAACCATCAAACAAAAAAGTACGAAGATAATTTGTCTATCCTGTGAAACTCAAAAGAGTGCGGAAAATTCACTGGAAGACGATCGTTTATCTAAGGATTTTTATCTCTTTAACTCAAACCAAGCAAAGAACACATAATCTATGAAAGATTCAAATCAAACAACAACCCACACTAAAAATAGTAAGGACACCATTCAATATACTCGATGAGTTATTGTCGAGGGTAAATCCCGGAGGCGTGGAGTCAACGGTCCAACCCGAACGGGAACCTGCAAGACGGGGGTTAGCACTCCGAAGATTAAGTTAGTGCTAGAGAGAGAAGCAGGCAATTAACAAACTTATAGAGAGAAACGGTAGTGTGGAATTGCCTTTGTAATAAATGTACAAGGAGTATTTATAGGTTCCAATAGGACAATACCTATGGGTCCCCACGTCGAGAGGGGGGGCAAATGCGTAAATAATTATGAGTAACCCCTAAAAGGGCCGACTGGGCCTTTAAAGGAAAGGACTGGATAGCTTGGGCTTATAGTCAGGCCCAAGCTGTGGAGTCGATTGGGCCGGTCAGGTTTTGACCCTCAATAAGTGCCCCTGTCAAGCCCAGTTCAGCAAAGCCGAATTGGACTTGACACAAAGGAATTCTTGGCCCAATGAATCAGCCCACTTTCTAGAATATTCGGATGCGGGGCGCCCTAGATCCAACGCCCTTGGTTTCTTCCCGCCTAAACCTGTTGGATGTCTGGGATTGTCTGGAAGACAATGATGCAATGATGGTGCCTGGTGGAGATCGAGGGGACTGTTTAGTTCTAATGAAGTGTATAAATCCCTCCCTTGGGCACCTGAAACCATTTTTCTCCTTTTTCCCTCCAGACTCAGAAAAGAATCAACACCTTTTCCTTCTCCTTTTTTGCAAAGTGGTAACTTACAGCCGGCGGTGACCAATCTCGGTTTCGGAGCAATCAACAACGTGTAAGTCTTTTCCCCTTCCTTGGATTCGTTTTCCGGTATGGCTAAGGAAGCAGTCAAAGTAGAAGATGTTCAATGCTCGTTGAACCAGGATAGATTAAATGACTTAGAAAACTATTATAGCCTTACGACCATCCACCCCATCTTGCCAGAGAGCTTTGAGAGAGCCAATACTCCTCCTCCGGGGAAAATTACCATTTATGAGAAGTTTTTGGAGTATGGGCTGCATTTTCCCCTTATGCCAATGTATAGAACAATAGTAAAAGCCTACGGCAGACCTCTAGTGATAGCAATCTCGTAGACGAAGCAAATTTCATTAATGCAACCATCAAAAAGAAAGTACGAAGATAATTTTGTCTATCCCGTGAAACTCAAAAGAGTGCGAAAAATTCACAGTAAGACGATCGTTTATCTAAGCGATTCTATCTCTTAACTCAAACCAAGCAAAGAACACATTATCCATGAAAGATTCGAATTAAACAACAACCCACTCTAAGAATAGCAAGGACACCATTCAATATACTCGATCAGTCATCTATCAAGAGACTCAAGAAAGGCAAGAGCAAACAATGCCCAACTATGATGGAATACTATTGATTAGTAATCTTCATAACCAACCAAAGATATGCAACACATACACTATCTCAAAATGCTTATGCCAAAGCACAACTCATCCAACAAAAGTAGGACAAACCCCACAATGGATCTCATGAACACACTCGTCATGAAATTCGAACACCAAGCCACAGGAAAGGCTCATCAATCGAACTACTAGAAGTAGTATGCAAATAAGAAGTTTAGTTTTAAAACAATTCTATCAAGAAGCATACTTGAAAAAGAACGGTTTCTGCAAGATCAAAAAGATCCAAGACAAGATGAAAGCCCTCTTGGTTTAATCATACTTGACACGAAAAATGGACACTCCATTTAACAAAAATTCCTCACAGGAAAAACTCTCAAAAGAGACAACAACAATGACCACTCAAGGGTGCTTAAGAAATTCGGCCAAGCCTCCTATTTATAGGCTTAGAATTTTCGGCCAGCACCACTAAAAAGAAGACCAATTAGGACTCTCTAATCTTATCTCCCAAGGAGTAAAAGTAGAAGAGTACTTGATCTCTTTGACTCTATCTAAAATCTAGGAAACCTTATCTAAATGACTTATCCTCAAGTAGGATAATATCTAGAAGGAATCTAAGACTCCTAATCAAAACACTCTAGTTTAATTCAGTCCACATGACTTATTTAACTAGATAAAAATTCGAAAATTGACTCCTAGGCTTAGACCAACTCTAATCTCGAAATTCAGCTCCAAATTGTTGAAGTAAAATGTCTTGAACGCCCTTCCAAAAGTGGAATATTGGTCTTGCGCCCCTTAAGTTGTAGAAAACTCCAATTTACTCCAAAACTTGTAGAATTCTCTTTATTCACTCCAAAAGATTGGAAAAACACTTGAAACAATTAAGATAGTTTGCAACCTATCCAATTGTGTAGCAATGGACTCAATCTTGAACACTTTGATCAAATAGGCCGTCCACTCAAGAACCTAAATGACTCTTCTCACTAGCTTGATCAATGATCTTCATGGAGCACACAGAGTCAAACTCTTTTGATACTCTTCAGCACTTATTTCCATGAGGTCTTCATCTCCTTTGGTTTGAACCCAAAAGTTAATGACATTCTCATCACCTTGATCATAGCTCTCTTGAACCAACTCCCTATCACATAGGTAGTCAAGATCCATCCTTTCTTCCTTGATTGGCCTGCAAAGTAAACTTGGCATTCCAATACTAGAATGAGGGACTAGCTCATTCCCCTCACTAGGAGAACCTCCATGGAAGGCTACATGATTCTCATCATCTAGCCCAATACACCCCTAACCTCATAACCATAGTGTTAGCCTTCGTCCATGTGTGTAACAAGACGAAGGTAGAACCGGATCTCTTCCTATTTAGGTGCTTCTATAAGCCCGTCCGATGTGGGAAGAGTTGCCCCAGGTGGTTCAGCTTTACTAAAAATCTCAATGGTCCTCCTAAAGAATTGGTAGCTAAGAACGAAAGTTCTAAGCATTGGAGGTCGGGGTTCTTTTATGCAGACTCGGATTTGGCTTACCTTTATCCGTGGAAGCCGGAAAAGGGAGGAAAAGTTAGTTTAGATCCATGGACCAAAAAGGACAAGAAGGAGATAGAGGCCAAGAAAGCAGACCTAGAGAAACTGGTCGGGTGGAAGAAGACTTATAAATATAGACAAATCGTGTCATTGAGCGACACGATCAGCTCTTGTAACCAAGGTATTTTACCCGAAGACTAACTTTGGCTATTTTCCTATTGGTAGGTATATTTGCTAACCTGCTGGGTAAACGCTTGGCTTTTGATGATTCAGACGAGGAGGAACCATCTCCAGAGAAAAGGCAACAAGAAACTCCTCAGCCCGCAGTGGGACAAGCACCCACTAGTCAACTGACGAGGGCGCACGCAGAAGGGCAAGGAAGAGGACACTCTTGGTCCAAGCCGCGGCCCATTAGAAGAGAAAACGAGGGGCACCTAAGTTGGTAGAGGTCGACCCTCTGTCGTACAGCTTGACCTCAATCCATGAAACACCCTCCGTCGACGAACTAGTAAAGGAGGGCTATGAAGATCAAGGGCAAGAAGCGGGTCACTTCGAGGGTATACCCGAGGGTAACGCCCTACTGACGTTCGACTCCCCGCAGATCGAATGTGTAGATGTGCCTGCCTCAGATGTGCCGCAATTGGAGGACAGCATAAAGCAAGTAAACCCTCGTCAGTAGTTTAATACACCCGAGGGTAAACCCTCCTAACCAAAATCCTCTTCGTCGGACAGGTCGTGCAAGCAATAGGCTCCTTCGTGACTGTGTGCATGAACTTGGAGTGATAGCTGGCCTCGGCTAGGAGGAAGGTCACCAGCGAAGCATATAAAGCAAGGGATGCCGAGGCGCGGCTTCAGGCCTTGGTGGAAGAGAAGAGTCGGCTGGAGGAGGACCTCTCGACGATGAAGGGGCAATTTGAAGGTGTGGAGGTAGCCCACAACCTTCATATTGAGAACCTCTGGCCGACGCTCATCCCCAAGTCCAACTTGGACAAGTACATCCTCGCAGGGGTGCAGAGGTACTTGGGGTTGTCCGAGTTCGCCCTCGGTATCAACGACGTCATGGACCCCGCGATGGAAAGGGGAGCTAGGAAGGTTGTCTTGGAGATAGAGGCGGCCCGAAGGAAGAACGAGGACATCCAACCAATCCTCGACAAATACGCCGACAGGGCGATGAAAGGAAGGACGCTCGCGGTAAGGCTGCGGTGCAAGGCGCGAAAGCATTTTCGTGATATGAATTTCGCCTTGCTTCCCATAATGCAGCAGATTACCAAGGCCTGCTCCTCTATCTCCAGGCCCGAAGACATTGCTGATATTCCTGGAAGCCCTTCATTCGTCTTTCAGATGCCAAGGGGAATCCAAACGCCCCCGGGGATACCGCCAAGGCCGGATGAGGAACCGGAGGCGGTTGAAGCTGCATCGCCCCCCAAGGGGAACAATTCCGGGAGCCACGGCGGGGGCGGTACTTCAACTGACTCCAACACTAACAGCAGGGATAAGGTGAATGATGCATAGGGTTAGGCCTCATGTTAGAGATTACCTTTTTCCCGTTGTAACACTTTTATTGATTTGAGTTCAAATCAATTTTAATTTCAATGATTAATAAATTTTAATTTGATTCATCAATTTTTATGGTTAAAGATGTTTTAATGATGTTTTTATAATCGTAAGTTTTTGCTCTTTGGCTTAATTTACTTGAAAAGTTTTTCATAGCCCATGCTCCCTAACCCCTTAGCTTACACGCGCTTCTTGTGTTCAAGGGAAGGACGTGGCTTCGGACTTGCCCCATCCACCCGAGGGAACCTCCCAAGGCGTACTTGTAACCCCGGGTCAGTGGGAAACATACGAGATTCCCTGGATCGATCTGCAGTTACCTAACCCCCATTTTGATCTGACAGCCTTTCCTTTTTATGCGGGCGTCAGGGGGGCATTAGTTGATCCACCTTTCAACCAAAGCCGTGGAAGACTGTCCAGTCTGGAGGGCTAGCTGGAGGAGGCCTTGGAGGCATACAGGGCATCGAAATTGCGCGAGGCCCGCAGGCCATTATAGAGGCGAAGGCCGAAAATGATCAGTTAGACAAGTTATGGAGGGACACAGAAGCCTATTGGGAAGGCCACCTGAAGAACTCCATACAGTTGGAGATGTTGGCCAACAACCGCCTTCGGAAGTTCGAGGCTAAGATCCGGAAGAAAAAGAAGGATGACAGTCTGCCTGAGCCCGACCCCGAGGACTTTATTCCTTGCAACTATTTCAAGAGTGTCTTGGTACACCGCTTATGCCCTGGTTGTTGTAAGGTGGGATCGATCCTCTGACAAAATATAGGCCCTTCGGGCATTCGCTGGTCAGCTTCGGGCGGCATTGAAAAGCGCAATTTTATTTATTGTGGAAACAGGAAAGGAGTATGATTTTGGGGCGCTGTGGCCTGACCCCTGCCCCGGCATGCGAGACGATCCCGCTTCCCCCACTCGTGAGGCCGAGCGTCTGATATATGAAAACGACGCCCTGTTTCACGAATTAGGTCAAGGGTCGCACTAGGGACTTATTTAGTTAGGCCGTTTTTGTTAGGCTGTTTTTTATATGATTTTGTCAAGTGTAAATATCCGAAGGTCGTGCCTTCAAGGATACGAACATAGATAATCGAGACATATTTTTGAAGTTTGACCCCACTTTCCCATTTTTCCTGCTTTCTTCGTTATCTATCTTATTATCGGTGGAGATCTTATGGTTGTATATATGAAATTCTATTTCAGGTAGTCCGATGATGATGCTCTTCCCAACAATCCGAGGGTGGTGATATGAGTACTTTCTCCCGGGTTTTATATGTCAAACCATAAATCCTATATTAATAAGATTGAAACGATTTGGCAAATGATTTGGAGGGATCTTACCATATCGAGGACCGCCCTGGGTTTGTTTATACTTTGAGGTCCCGTACGAGTCCTGCAGGCCGCTGAGGCCATGCGGTGTCGTTTGCCACTGGGGTCGAGATGGGCTTTGTAAGGGCTCCAAGGTTGTGGGGACCGTAGGAGTCCTGCAGGTCGCGGAGGCCACAGGGTGCCGTCGGCCACTAGGGTCGAGACGGGCTTTGTAAAGGCTTCAAGGTCGCGGGGACCATAGGAGTCCGGCAGGCTGCGGAGGCCACGCGGTGTCGTCGGCCAACGGGGTCGAGACAAGCTTTGCAAAGGCTCTAAGGTCGCGGGGACCATAGGAGTCCCGCAAGCCACAGAGGCCACGCGGTGCCGTCAGCCACTAGGGTCAAGACGGGCTTTATAAAGGCTCCAAGGTCGCGAGGACCGTAGGAGTCCCGCAGGCCACGGAGGCCACGCGGTGCCGTCGGCCACTGGGGTCGAGACGGGATTTGTATGGAATGGAATATTCAAGTACATGGGGGGAATCCATATATTAACAACAAAAGTGGTGATATTCCCGTCGTTCAGCTACAACTATTACAAAAGGAGGCGGCAGCCCTCAAACATGGAACTTCTTAAGATTCTGGATGTTTCACCATTGGGGAATATTGCAAGGCTCGTCGTCGCACGTGCGCAAGCAATAACTTTCTGAGGGTGAAACTTCCACCACCTTGTACGGTCCTTCCCAGTTTGGTGACAACTTTCCCGTTGGTTCAGCATGGCTGGCGTCGTTCCGTCTGAGGACCAGATCCCCAACTTCAAAGTCCTGAGCCCGGACCTTGGCGTTGTACTACTTAGCCATAAGTTGCTTGTATTTAGCTTCACGGGCCTTGGTCAGATCTCGCTTCTCATCTAAGAAATCAAGGCAAAGGCGACCTTCATCTTCATTCATTTCCTCCGCGAAGTTGACCACCCGGGGGCTGGGCACCTCTATTTTGGCCGGGAGAACGGCTTCCATGCCGTATGTCACGGACAGTTTTTCTTCACCACGAATTCGGGTGGTTTGATGCGAAACGGGCTATTTCCGTAGACGGACGTGGGACGGAACGGTCTAGAGCCTTGTGGAATTCTCCGGTCAAATCTTGAAGACTCTTGAATTTTCTAGAGAGGCCCGGAACTCTCTAGAAACGAGTGGAACCGTGTGGAAGCTACCCGAGTTGGCTAGAACCGTGTGAAAGATTCTAGAGACTTGTAGATATTTTGAACTTAGAATATTTTATTGTAGGAATTCTCTAGAATTCCATTATTTTATTATGTTCATAGAATTCTCTAGAATTCTTTAAAACTTGGGGGTTTGCCTATAAATACCCCATGCCCCCTTCATTTGTAATCCATCCAAGCTTGGAGTAGAGTTCTCAAGCATTCCCTAAGCTCTCTTGTGCCTTCATCGTTCTTTCACTTTCAACCTTTCTTAAGTTTTTCTTTGCCTCCGTTCTTTAAAGTCTTGCCTAGCTTTGCACGCTTTGGGGGTCTGAAGGCTGAGCTAGCACTTGATCGTTAGTTGTTTTGTGCTAATGCCGCACGGCCGTTACTTTGAAAAAGTAAGCCCGTGACAGTTGGTATCAGAGCCTCGGCTCGATACTTGGTGTGCTACATCGTCTACGCTTCCGTTTGTTAGTTTTCTTTCGTGCATAAGCTATGTCCAATCCGTCGGAGGTTGTTCAAGGGTCGGAGCTTGAGGGAGATCACGTTTCCCGCGAGGTGGGGAGGACCACCCGCAAAGGAAGCCGCAAGGAGAAGTCGGTCGTTAGAGAGCCGATGGTGGAATTCGAGAAACGGCTTGCCAAGCTAGAGCTTGCTGTGGCCGACCACCAAGACCGTTGGGACGAGCACCCTGAGGTGGTAGCGGGGGTCGTCGAAGCTCGCATGGAGCGATTCGCAGGGGAATTGCAAGAGGTCATGCAGCAAATGAAGGACGACATGCTAGGGACGCTCAACGAAATGGTGGAACGTTGCAATAAGTTGAAGGAGGAAAGCCTTGCTCGTGTTGCCGCCCTCCAAGACGACGTCAACCGGCTTATGGGGGAGTTGGATACTTCTCGGGCAGAATCGGTGCGTCTTCAGGCACGGCTTGACGCCGTGGCCGTGCAAGGGACAACCGGAGCCGTGGGGACGGTTCCAAGGCTTGAGGCGCCCAAGCCGGACGAATATAAGGGCAGCCGTCGCTTGAGGGACGTAGAGAACTTTCTCTACAGCATGGAACGGTACTTTGGGGCTATGAATATCATGGACGACTCGGTAAGACTCTTCCAAGCCTCTCTTTATCTTAAAGATAGTGCTTTATCATGGTGGAAACGTAAGATGAAACCCGTGGGGCATGGAGACCCGGTCTTCACCACGTGGGATGGTTTTAAGGAAGAGTTTAGAAAGTATTTCCTACCCGTGGATGCGGAAGACGAAGCCCGGGCCAAGCTTCGTCGTCTGCACCATAGGGAAGGCCAAATCCGGGAATACGTTAAGGAATTTTCGGACTTGATGCTTGAAATTCCGGATCTCTCGCCCAAGGAGGCGTTCTTTACTTTCATGGACGGTCTCAACCGTTGGGCCAAACTTGAGCTACAACGGAGAGAAGTCCAGGACATTGATCGGGCGTTAAAGGTGGCCGAGCCGCTTGTTGAGTTCCAAAAGAAGGATAGCTCTAAGGACAAGGGCAAGAAGCCATTCCAAAGTAATGGTGGGGGAGACAAAGGGAAGTCTTCCACACCCGCGAAACCGGCAGCCGACTCCACAAAGCCATCTTCAAGCAAGGAGACCAAGGGGGACAAGCCAAAGAAGTTTAAAGGGTGCTTCTTGTGAGCGCACATGGCACGCGATTGCCCGTCTCGTTCGAAGTTGGCAGCATTGGCGCAAGGTTTGTGCCAAGAAGAGGAGAAACGGGTCACTTGCATGAAACGGCTAGATGTCGTGCATGCCAAGGCCGAGACACGTCAAGGCCGTCTTTACATGGAGGCATCGTTCGTAAACGGGTCTAGATGGGGCATGCTAGACACGGGGGCCGACACGAGTTATCTCACGGAAGAGGTAGCCCGTTCGCTTGGAGTCAATTGGACACCTAGCAAAAGCCGTTTCAAGGGCGTGAACGGCGAATGGACGGGTCTTGTAGGCGAAGCCAGGGACGTGCCTCTTAGAATCGGCAACTAGTCAGGTACGACTAATTTCTCCATCGCCCTTATGGACGATTACGGTCTTGTGTTTGGCATGGAGTTTTTAGACCAGGTTAAGCCAATCATCGTGCCTAGCAATGACACGATGGTAATCCTCCAAGGAGAGAAGCCTTGTGTGGTAAAGTTTAGACGGGAGAATGAGATTAGCCCTTCCCAGCTGAACAAGGGGCTAAAACGGGGTGAACACACCTTTGCCGCCATGGTGTTTGAGGAGGAACCATGCACAGAGGAGCCGGCAAAGGAGGAACGAATCCCGCCTCCCATAGAGCGAGTCCTTGTTGAGTTCAAGGACGTGATGCCCGACGATTTGCCCAAAGGTCTTCCACCAAGGAGGGAGGTTGATCATGCCATCGAGTTGGTGGACGGGGCGAAACCGATAGCCAAGGTGCCTTATCGTATGTCCCCTAGTGAGTTAGAGGAGCTCAAGGTGCAAATCAAGGAGCTACTTGAATCGGGTCATGCAAGGCCGTCTAAAAGTCCGTGGGGTTCGCCGGCCTTATTCCAACGCAAGAAAGATGGGACGCTACGTTTGTGCATCGACTATCGGGCGTTAAACAAGCTAACCGTGAAGAACAAGTACCCTATCCCACATATAGCGGACTTGTTCGACCGGCTACAACGGGCACGGATCTTTTCCAAGCTAGATTTGCGGAAGGGATACTACCAAGTATGCATAGTACCCAGTGATGAACCGAAAACGGCAATGGTGACGAGGTATGGCTCTTATGAGTTTCTTGTTATGCCGTTCGGTTTAACTAACGCCCCAGCCACGTTTTGCAGTCTGATGCAACGTGTGCTAGCGGATTTCATTGATAAGTTCGTTGTAGTGTACTTGGACGACATCGTTATCTATAGTAACACAATGAAGGAGCATGTGGAGCATCTTAGAGCCGTTTTTCAAGTCCTTAGGGAAAACCAGCTCTATGTTAAAAGGGAGAAGTGTTCCTTCGGCCTTGAGGAGGTGTCGTTCTTGGGACACATCATTGGTGGCGGCAAAATCCGCATGGATCCGGCCAAAATCAAAGCTATCGTGGAGTGGGAGGCACCCACGAAGCCAACGGAGCTGAGATCGTTCTTGGGGCTTGTTAATTACTATCGGCGGTTCATTGAAGGACACTCCGCCATAGCCGCTCCATTAACGGATCTCTTGAAGAAGGGGCAAGCTTGGTGATTGGACACCAAAACACCAAACAACGTTCGAGGCTTTAAAGGACGCCGTCACTCGAGAGCCAGTCCTAG